GGAGAGAGGAGACAGGAGGAGACAGGAGGAGGAGGAGAGAGGAGACAGGAGGAGACAGGAGGAGAGAGGAGAGGAGAGAGAAGAGAGGAGACAGGAGGAGAGGAGGAGAGAGAGAGAAGACAGAGGAGACAGGAAGAGGAGAGGAGAGAGGAGACAGGAGGAGGAGAGGAGGAGACAGGAGGAGAGAGAGAGGAGAGAGAGGAGACAGGAGGAGAGAGAGGAGAGAGAGGAGACAGGAGGAGAGAGAGAGAAGACAGAGGAGACAGGAAGAGAGAGGAGAGAGGAGGAGAGAGAGGAGACAGGAGGAGAGAAGAGACAGAAGAAGAGAGAGGAGAGAGGAGACAGGAGGAGGAGAGGAGGAGACAGGAGGAGAGAGAGAGGAGAGAGAGGAGACAGGAGGAGAGAGAGGAGAGAGAGGAGACAGGAGGAGAGAGAGAGAAGACAGAGGAGACAGGAAGAGAGAGGAGAGAGGAGGAGAGAGAGGAGACAGGAGGAGAGAAGAGACAGAAGAAGAGAGAGGAGAGAGGAGACAGGAGGAGGAGAGGAGGAGATGGAGAAGGAGAGAAGAGGAGACCATCTTCTCTCATTAGATTTTTTTTAATTGATCGATGTGTTTGTTTGTTTATTTGTATGTTTGTGTGGTTCTTTATATGCAAGTTTGATTGTTTGTTTGTTTGTTTATTTGTTTGTATGTTTGTATGTATGTTTGTATGTATGTATGTTTGTTTGTTTATTTGTATGTTTGTGTGTTTGTTTGTATGTTTGTGTGGTTGTTTGTTCAGTTGTTTATCTCCAGTGCAGTCAGGTCCTGACCTGGTCTTGGTCCAGTGGTAGGAGGAGATCTTCTGGTCGTCTCTGCTCTTACTGCCGTCCAGAGTGGTCCTGTCCACAGGCAGGGTCAGCTCCTTCTCTGGCCCGGCGTCTGCCACCGGAGGCTTGTTGTTCTCTGTGGGACCAAGAGACACCAACAGAACCCACCATGAAGGACCAGTCCACAAACATCTGTACAGCAGGTCTGACTGGAGCCAGAACCAGAACCAGACCAGAACCAGAACCAGAACCACCAGACTGAGAAACAGCTTCGGTCCAGAAGCTGTGAGACTGTGAAACTCTTAAAACTACAGACTGGAACACAAAACTTCAGAAACAAAACTAAAACACAAACTGCACATTCAGTGGATGTGGATTCTGGCATTGTTGCACACATTTTATATCTGATTTCTTTTTGTCATTTGTAATATTTGAGGATATTTATGTTTTTCTTTTTTTATATTTTTGGATAAACAATATCGTACACTTTGGGTACGATGTTTCATTCCACCACATGTTTGTGTGTTTGTGAACGACAATAAAATCTTCCTTCACTCCTTGATGTCAAAAGTCTGCTTGTTTATTTACTATATCAAAAAAGACAAGTGTGTTTGTGTATTTATGTAATATAATTTATGTGTAATATGTTTAATATATATATACTGTATATAAGATAAATATGGATTTATTGAAAATGCATGCCAACACTTTTTTACCATTGTTTCATCATTTGCTTAAAGCTGCTGTATGTAGTTTCTTGGGAACCCAAAAACTTAGAAAAATTTTGAACAGAAACAACCTTGT